GTCGAAGAAGGATTCCTCTTCATTCTGGCCACTTTCCGGTGACGTCGCTGATTCTGATCTCGCCAGGTAAGTGAGCACACTTGGTGGGAAGCTTCGTGATTCGGGTCTTGTTTGTGATCCCTCTCGGGGCCGAGGTCGAGTCAATGACTGTAACAAAAATATAAAATTCGTCAACAAAAACTATTGATTATTGATACTTTTAATTATATTTAAATTAATTAAATATAATATATATCTGATCTTGTATTGGCGAAACAAAATTTAAATATTTTGAAATATTTAAATATACATTATTTTCTTATATATTAAATAAATATAAAATTAAATTCCACTTTTTTTTTAAATATAATTAAAAATATTTTAAAAATAAATCAGAATTACGATCAATTCTTAATTTTTTCTTCATATTTTTTGACATCAAAATTTATTATTAGAACTTAAATTTATAAAAATCAAGTGATTTTGTTTTTTGATAGAATTGTTTAATTTATGCATTTTGTCATTTATCTATATAATACTATATCTTGAAATGAAAGAGTTTAATGATTAGATATTTTTTTTTTAACATATGGGTCATGTTACAATATTGGATTTTGAATTAAATTTTTAATGGATTGTAAAATAAATATTGTCTAAACTCTTTAATTAATTGAAATATATCATACAATGACTCTAAATTATCAAGTTTTTAAAAATTTCATATATATGTGGGTCGTGATACAATTACAAACTAATATGGGTCTTGTGGCAGAAATGATGAGAAATGCCGAGAATCTCAATATATTTCATTTTTATCGTTCGAGAGATTTCTTCGAATGAAATATTAAAATCGTAATTTATTTAAAATTACTAGATTTCCGTACGCAGCGATCGTCGTAAATAAGATAATAAATTGAAAAGTCAAATTACTATCGATGAATCTTCTACTGTTATTATGGCAGTTCTAATTTTAATAATAAATCACATTTCATTGAATGCTACGCTTTCTGTTTTCACTTCTTTATGATATATTTGATATATCTCAATTACAAAATAGGATATTTAAGGAATAAGGATTTTATAATAAAATAGAAAAATTATTAAAAAATTATTAAAATCTTCCTTTGAAATCTTATACTATAAAAAATTTGTATTTTTTATTAAAATTTGTATTATATAATATTATAATATTGAATTTATTGACTGTAATTGGTTCTATAATAATATTAAATGTTTAATAATTAACAATTAATATATAATTAAAAATTATTATATTATTAATATAATAATATATTATATTTATATTATAATAATATATAATATAATATAATATTATAATAATATTAATTATTGTATATTTATTATTACGATAATATAAATAATTAATTACATATATGATAATTAACAAAATTGAATTAAAGTTTTATTTATGCTTTTCTAAATTTTGGTATTCTTATTTTTACGTTTCATACATATCTAAATTGATCTTATCAAATCAAATATAATTTTGTACAATCTTCATCATCTATTTAATTTATAAAAAAAATTTTTTTCATAGAATTTAAAGTTCATATGATATTATAATACTTATTATACATAATAATTAGACATAATTATACATAATAATAATATATAATAATTTTTATAAATCTTTGTTACACATTTAATATTACCATTTTATTCAAATACACAATATCAATCATTTAATAACTTCTTTGATAATATAGATTAATTACATATTTCTACTAAATTAGAAAATATCTCAAGATCTATAAATGACAATATCCATATTCTTTTTTTATTTTTATTTTTTATAATTTACCATTACACTATTTATTTATACTATTAATATATTTTATATATTAAAATATATAAAATATATATTATTTATTTATATATATATATATATATATATTATTTATATTATATATACTATTTTATTCCACCCACTATCTTCTATTTAATCTACTTACATTTTCTTCAATATCAATCTTTTCAAACCAACACGTTAATGAGCAAACAAGCACGCATTTAGCGCCGATATTACCATTGTAAATAACATTTACCTATATATTATTGCTTTTATTAATCACACAATTAACCAGGATTTCGAAATAGAAACATTTTCCATTTTGAACATAGTGTATATCTATGATCCTGTTATAGGTTGCTAATTTCGAGGAGAGTAACCATCATTCATTAATATTAAACTAGGGAGGCCGCTACGTCTGTTACAACAATGCTACAATACCAGCCAATTGATTGGAATCGGCGTAATGCTATTTTACCGGCGGTCGATAACAACCTCGGGAATTATTTTATGCAATTAACCGTGCAATTATTCATATCAGAAAACAGAGCGAGCGTAACTAACGTCGTGTCTCGTGTGTACATTAATTTGCACGGCGACGAACCGTAATGCCTTTCTAATAGCTACCACGTTGATTACGTTTCCTCGCGAAATCTCTCTTGCACACGAGTTCACCTTCTATGTTCTCCTTTTCTTGTATCCTAGATTTTAATTGCCTTTCACATACAATGGATATATCGAGACTTTATTCGGCGTTAACAACCTGTCACGACAACGTCGTTTCTTTTCTCTTCGATCGAACGTGGTTGTATCAACTCTTTGGAACGAAAGACTTTAAGTTAATGTATTAGAATTATCTACTTTAAGCCTTGTGTTTATTAAAGATCATTTGATATTATTAAGTGATGGATCTTTCAATCGAGTATTTTAGAAATTGTGTGTTGTTTTGGAGAATTTTTCTAAAAATTTTTGTTTTAATTAATATAGATTATTTTATAGATTGTTTTAATTAATATAATATTATAATAGAGTTTTATTTAGAATAAAAATATTTAAAATATATTTGTAATATAATCATTTATGATATAAGTGAAATAAATGATAAAATTTATTTTTGTATTGAATTGGTATAAGACATTGAAATTGAAATATCATATGATTAATAATTAGCAAAAAAAGGATTATATGTTTGATTAATTAATATGCTTGAGCAGTTTATAATTGATTCACAAAAGAAATTGCGAAATTTGTTAAATAGATTAATATATTTGTAAAGAATATTGAGATAAAATGATTGATACATCAAAAATTAAATATATTTAATATTTTATATTTAAATTTCATTTAAAAAAACAATGTTAATTTTCATATAGTTTATATATAGATAAATTAATTAATAATACAGATAAATTACTTCCTTTTCGAAAAAAAATATATTCCATTTAAAATGTTTTTTTAAATAACAAATATATTCTTATATAAATATATTTTTATATAAATTAAAATGAAATATCCTGTATATAAATTAATATTTATTTTATATTTCTTAGATAGATTATATTAAATACAATTTTTATTCCAATTCCAATTTTTATTCCAATTAAAAATGTATATAAATAATTATAATCTATTCTATATAAAATGTAAATAATTTTTTGTTATTTTAAAATCAATTAAATTTTTTTTTTATTTCTATTTCTCTATGTATTTTTTAATCATAAAAGGAACAACAAAACTGAATGTTTTATATATAAATATGTAAAAAACATATCATTTATATGTTATTATGTCATTAATATACAAAATATATATATATACGAAAATACAATTATGAAATCCGAGAAATTTTTCTAATATGTGATGTAAAATTTTAAACATGTAATATTGATTGAATATATAATATTAAATATTACGTGTAATAAATAAATACCAACAATTATTATTTTAATTTTAAGTTACAATTAATTGCAAACATTTTCTAAATTCAATGACTTAATGATATTTGTCGGTAAAATCTAATTTATGCATTAAAAATCTCTTTATTATATAATCAGTAATATTATTAGTGCATTATTTAACTACAATTCTTTTATATTTTATTTTTTTATTACAAATTTTGTAACAAATAAATATTTTATTTATTTATTTTCATTATTTAATGAAAATAGATTCATCTTTAACTCAGTTTTACTTTAATAATATTCTATGTAATTCTTCGAATTACATTAAATCTTTTAAATTCAAAACAGATGCTTAAATTTAACTCAATTATCAATTCGAAAATGCAAAATTTAACATGGATCATATCATATAATCAGCATTGATTATGTGATACATATTATTATTATTATCGATTTTACATAATTATAATACCAATATTCATTGGTGAACAAAATTAATTTAATAAAATGAATATTCTACATAAAACAAAATAATGCATATACATGGAAAATAATATATTCATTCTTGCATACGTTCTAAACATAAATGTGTAAAACATGTGCACTATACTATATAAATATATAAATACTATATTATATGATATAACATATCATATAACATAAATAAAAAATATATTTTTAGAATTTTTTAATTACAAAATATTTATTTCTGTTTCTTTCTTATTTTATCCATTTCCCATAAAAACATGCAAAATATGTAGAAAACATTCACCATCTACTAATATATCTATGAATATATTATATATATATAATATATATAAACAATTATTATTTCACTTAACGAGATAATCAAATGTTTATAAATTCTTTAAAAAAATTTATCCAACAATATAGAAGAATCTTGTGTTTGAAAAACGTGGAAAATCAATGTTTCGTATTTGACAAATGAATGGAGAGCACGAGATTCGAATTAATCGGTTATTTCAAAACAAATCATTGTTCGTTTTTCAATGGTTCGATCCCTTTGACAATGAGAGGCGAGAAAGAGATGGAGCATTTCTATAGCATTATGTAGATCTGTGTTTAATTATCGTGTTCGTGGAACAACGAACGCTTCTAGTGAACTCATTAAGCGTGTCGCTTGTGGAGCAACGGTGATCGATATTAATGACGAATCAATGGTGTAATCCAATATCATCAGTTCGGCAGCTCGAGCAACGGACCTCTCTGTTATTAAGGACCAGGAATTAATACGAATTACTGCCGTGCGAATGGCGTTATTCCAATTAAAATCCAGACTGATGCGACCTCAAAAATTAAATCCTCACGAGAAATACACTCGGTATAATTGATAGTCTTTTGTTCCTTTTGCTCTTTTACTATTTTCCTTCTTTGTTCTTTTTCTCTTTCATCTTCGCTGGTGGAAAAAAGAAGAGGAACGGGAATAGTGATAAAAA